GTTGCTGCCATGTTAAATCCTACCATGAAATTAGGATGTCCTCACTTTTGGTATACAAATATTTATAAGGCTTTATCACTTTCAGATGAGGAATTTGCTACACTTGCAGATGCAAAAGCCTCAATTAAAATAAATGCTAAAATAATTTATAATGCTTATCAACTTGTCTTAGATCATGCTAGACCAAATTTTTCAACTTGCAAAAGCCTCAATTCAAGTTTATTTGTCGTAGAGACTTGAATCAAAGAATCCCAACAGCTCCTTTGATGTTTTGGAATGGTGGAAGGACAAAGAAAAACATTATCCGGTTCTTTCAAGGATGGCTAGAGATATTTTAAGTATTCAAGCTTTAACAGTGGCATCGGAGAGCGCTTTCATTCAAGCGATACTTCAAATCGGTGATCATAGAGCGTCTATGAGGGAGAGCTTGGAAAAATCAGTACTCTTCAGAGATTGGATCCGTTCGGAAAGAAGAAATTTTGGACTTGCTCAATCACAACCGGAGATAGACGAAACTTATGAAGAAATGCTAGAGGAACTTGTGGAGGATGCTGCTTCGCCCGGAAGCGGTGATGAACAAGCTTCTTTTCCGCCACCACCAACGGAAATTCCTCTGAACCTTGAAGGATGAGATAATACGTAGACTAATGTGTAACTTGTATTTTGGCACATCTTCATAAGTTTTTTTTTCTTTTAATGGTGGTATTAGCACCTTGTTGTGCTTATTCCATTGGTGGAGGAAGACTAAGAAAGATATTGTCATTTTTAGCTAATATCGTAATAATAAAAATTATAAGGCATTCTCTTGAATATTTCTATATAATATTTTTGTGATAAATTTGAATTAGAAGATTTAAGTCACAATTATATAATATAATTTACAAGAAATTGCCTTAGATAAAAAAAATTCAAAAAAAAAATAGCCCGGAACACTTAGGCCCGTTTAAGCCTGTGGGCCCGCCCCTTTTAGCCCATGACCATGTGGGCTTAGGCCCATAGTGGGCCGGTTCCACCCTCCAAGACCGCTAAGCCCGGACCGTTTGGTCCGGGACCGCTTGGGCCTAGCCCGCCAGAGCCCGGGACCGTTTGGCCTGGCCCGTTTAGCCCATTTAGGCTTGTTTAGCCTGTTTAGCCCATTTGGAGTAATAATATCAACTAGAATCAATAAGTTAGCCTTATTCCGTATACTTAAGCTCTCAAGCTTGTCACTAAGGTTGTATTGTGGTCCGGTCCTGGGCCTAAATGGGCCAAACGGGCCCGGGCTCTGGCGGGCCGGGCCCAAGCGGTCCCGGGCCAAACGGCCCCGATTGAACTAGATTTGACCTGGTACTAGGGCTAACCTGAGTACTTACACTTGTCCCCTCTTGCGCAGCTTTCATTTGAAGAAATCTAGCTTTATCTTTAAGGTGCATCTTTATGTGTCTAGTCAAAGTACTCGTACCGCTACGGTCTCCAGTAAATTTATGAGCCATCAAAGTCCCACAAGTTTTACACTTAGCCTTATTTTGATCTCTTAGTTGAATAAAAAAGTGCCAAACAAGAGATGTTTCGCACCGTCTAGAAGGTTGTCTATTAAAAGTAAGGGTTACTACAGGAGGGTCAGGGGGGGCATCATTTGGATTATTATTAGTTGGGTTAACAACAGGACTAGTAGGTGTATCATCTAAATCCGGTTGCGTTTCATTTTCCTCATCATTTTCATTGATAGTTTGATTACCATAAAGAGCATTCATATATTCATCATTTAATTATTGACCTGGTGCAATATCATGGCAAAATTGACTATTGGTAAATTAAAAATAAGGGTTATCACTATCAAGAATAATAGGTGGAGGAGGACGGGTAACAGGTTTGGGTCGGGGAGCAGGGGGAGGAGTAGTAGCTTGGCGACTAGATTCACCAATTTTAGATTTTCCCTTACCACCAAACATTTTTTTTCAAAGAAAATGCCATATTAATTATAATTATACAAACTAAAACAAACAAAACTATAATATTAAAACTTAAGAGTTGGAACGAGTTTACCGAATTGCCGAACTTCTTGAAAATTGTATATTGTTGATGACTTGAATACTTCAATTCACAAACTTCACACTTTTTCACAAATTGCAATAATAAAGTAATCAATTATATAAGAAAATTAGAGAGATTGATGATTTTGTGAGTAAAAATTAAAGAATGAGGGGGTATTTATAGTTGAGAATAGGGAAAAGTATAATTATAAAAAGTTTGGGGTTAAAACAAAGTTTGGGGGGCAAATGACTATTTTTTAAAAGCCAAACGGCTAATTGGTAGGCCAACAGCTAGTTTTTAAACTTCCAACCGTTGGCCAATTTTAAAAAAAAATTAAAAAAAAATTGAAAAATAGTTGTTGGGCCCGTTAGGCCCGATTGAACCGGCCTAGACCCGCCAGCTGGTCCCGGGCTCGCGGTCTCTACATGCAGGACCGGACCACAGTGGGCTCCTAGGACCGCTTGGGACCGGACCATACGGGCCAACCCATTTAGCCCAAAGCCCATGTGGGCTCGCGGTCCTGGGCCGGTCCCGGGCTGGACCCGAACCACAATACAGCCTTACTTGTCACCTGCTAAATATAGAGAGATTTAAGGTGAGGAAAAATAGAGCAAATATTTGTAGTATTATATTGATTCCATAGGGAAAGTGTTCGCAGTGTAAATGCAAGAATTGTAGGCGTTGATGACACTCTTTAATATCAACTTCAACTTGATTGTTTTCAAAATAACAAAGGTGAAACGCCTCTAGATTTTTTGCTCTAATATTTACCCTTTGCAACTTATTCAATCCGTAATTATATATATTGTATCACACAAACTTTAATTCTTCAGCGTATCATGAGATCAGGCAAGTCGATCTTCGTACATCCTTCGCAGTTTTTAAGTGTCAATTCCATAAGAAGGGCACTTATTGGTGAGATCAAGTAATTAAGAACCTGTCCTTGAGATTATAAATATAAACTTCCCCGAGGACTAGCTCTTGCAAAGAAACCATGATTGAAATCCCATTGAGATATGTAAAATCATCGCGAACTTGCATGAATTTGAATCAACAACTTTGAGGAAACTGGAAGTTTTTAGGATAAAAGCCAGAGATTATTTGTTTGCGAACTCAAGGTGCAACTCTTTAAAATTGAGCATGGCTAAGGACTTCATCAAATTGTCCAACTGAGTCAAATTCTTCCCCCTACGCTCTACCAATTGAAGTTTCACGACTCGAACTGGACCATGATCAAATTCATTAATTGTATTTGTAAAACAATTCTGGAAACAGATAAAGGAGCGCGGGGCTTGCCTTCTTCTCAACTCTTTAAAAGCTAGAAGAAGTGTAATTATATATATACTCAACAAATGAGCTTTGACAATGTTCAAAATTTCACTTTTCCCTCCATTTCCCATTCACCTCAATTTTAACTAAAAACGCAACAATTTCTTCATTGTTCTAAATGTCATCCATCGTCGTAGAGAATGATTTCAAGCTGAAGTGAAGAATTGTTTAGCAAGACTGGACGAGGCGATTCCATCTCTTGGAAACCAAAGAAACTGTTGAACCTAATTCCTTGTGGGCGAAGAAATTAGAGAATATGTGACAAAGAAGCTCGTCGGGAAACGCTGATATATTTCATAAATGGATTGGCCGGCAGCTTCAAACGCTACTGGACTTGTTGCATTCTCTCATGATGATTGTTGGAATTTGATGCTGTTATTTTAAAGGAATTATATAAGTAGTTATTCAAAGGGTTTGACTGTACGGATATATTTCCTCTCCTTTCTCGACATGATTTTGTCTTCCAAGGCGAATTTAAAACTATGGATTCAACTTTTAGGATTTTTAGTATAAACTATGGGTTCATATTTATTATTTGTTGCAATTTCAGTGATTTTTACCCATAATTTTTTGCATTGAAAGTTATGAGTTCAACTGAACCCGTCATCTTAATATTACATACGCCCTTGTTTGTTTTTACTTGAAAGACTTAAAATTGCACTATTGAACACCTATTATACACTGTTATACATTTATATATACATTGATTTTACATGTAGTTGAATATACACTTTTACACCGTACATGTATATCACCTGAAGTCGAAAGTTCCAAACTCTTCTTTACCATCATTTATACATATTATGTGGTTATACACGATACAAAGTAAAGTGTACATGAAGGTAGTAGGCTAGTATTGTATCCACATTTGATTCACTTAAAAAAAAGAGTAAATGATGTAAGAAATCCCATAACTACAAATTAAATCTATTAGGATGAAAATACAATAGCAACAACAGGAGGTTTACACATGTTCTACTACCTCATGTCAACCTAATTAAGAGACCTTACGAAAAAGAAGTGCAAAAAATGAGCATATTATATTGGTCCTTTCGAAAAAAGTCCGTGGAGAGAAACCATTCTTTCCAGCACCATCCCAAGTCACATTTCTTCTACCGGATGGACATTACTCTTCGCCAGCGTACTCGCTTGAAATTGACAGATAAGAAAAATAGGAGCATAGAAATTGCTCCTGGGCGATTCCTTCTGCTGTGCATTGAGCTGTAATTTTTTCAAGGGAATGTTAGGTCAGGTTGGACGAGTTAGGTTTGACACATTTGACCCAATTCATTTGGATCTAGGCAAACCATTGATTGATTTGATTCATTTTTATCTAAAAAAAATATAATAAATAGTTTAAATTAAATTGTTCCTAATTTAAAAAGCTATCCGTTCTTTTTAGAACAAATACAAATGAAATTATAATCACAATAAAGAAAAGTATGCCCAAAAAAAAGGGGAAGAAGTACAAAAATAATATGCCAAAATCGACGCACACGGAAAGGAAGGGGAAGAAGTACAAAAAAAAAAAAAAAAAAAAAAAAAA